GCATACATGCAATATCACTAATACAAAGGGATTCAAAACTACGTAAAGGTATTCAATTTACTACAAAGGAATTCAGTATGCAATATTCATCCTGTATTCATAATGGCTATGGCTAGAGTGCAGAATCCAAGAAATATCCTGTGACAGGTTGAAATCTGTGTAACTTCTAAACTATAAGAGATAAGGGTATGGTTTTAGTGGGTGACTAGGGGTTATTTTACCTGAGGATTACATTTTTGATGTCATTTTTACCATATCTTGAATGAATAAAGAGATAATAAGAAATTTTTATATTTTCTGCGTAGAAACACAGTATTATTTACCACACCGGTCTCTTATGTGACCTGGCGTTGATGGGGTTTACGGGTCACACTATAACTGCTAGTGTTACTAGCAGCCAATGGATGAGAAACCTCGCCTCGACGCTAGAAAGCGGAGGGGTTAAGCTCCCTAGATTTATAGGGGACACGTGCGGTAGAGTCTTTGCAGCGCCGGGCTTCAGAGGAAAATCAACTCTCTTCTAGGCTACAGTATTGACTTTACTGTAGTCTAGGGATGAGATAAAGTGATAAGGATAAGGGGGATGGATAGTAATAGATTAAATAATAACCCCACTCACAATTGTATGTAAGGTGCACGGGTTGTATGGTAATAATCTCTGGGGGGAGGGTTCTTGGGAAGAAGACCTCTCCCTTAAGTATTACAAAGGCAGGGGTCAACCTGCCTGTGAGACCGGTGAGGCCTTCAGAGGATCATTTATGTATATAATCATAAATGATCAAAATATGTATTTAAATTAAGCTTTAAACCAGAAGTGGAGGAAATGATGTCATTCAAGCTCAAAGGAGAAAGAATGATGTCATCTCTCTAATTACAGTGTATAGAGAGATGATTAAGATTTCAAATTGTATGTATATAAAATATGAATATTAATACAGAGGTGAATGCTTAAGTAATTCCGTGGAATTACTTAAAGCATAAAAGTATAAAAATAAAATAATAAAAATATAAGATTACATAATTGGGATTTGAACCCAAGTGTGTTGGTGAGGCAAAGTCATAAGACAGTGCTTAACCAATACACTACAGTACATGTGTTTGTTGGTCAAGTACAGGTTGTACACACATGGGCTACCGCCTCAGTGTCTGACATAACTCCAGACCTTGTCACATAATAGGGGGTTTCAAGGTAGGAATTCCAGGCCCCAGGAGCTCGCGCAGGTCGCGAATTCCAGGAAAAAAACCCCCCGCTAAAAAACCCCTTCTGGGGGTTCTAGTTTGAAGCCCCCAAACTCAGAATCCTCCTGTACTTTTAATCAGGAGTACCCGGCCTGCGAGAGCCTGGGAGTTCTAACCAGTATTATCCCCTCCCATCGGGGGCCCAAAAAGGGTTTATATTCTCCAGAGGCCCCCCCTAGAAGTACCCAGAACCACAAGTTGCCCCACCACCGGGGGATCTGTTTGCACCCTTCCGGGTTAGAGAATAACTTCATCACATCATGTCTATCGCTGAACGAGTACCGATAATCATGGCTAATCGAACCCCACTAATCTCCTGGACTGCCGATGCAGTCAATGATGGCCCCACCAGTAACACAATCCTAATCCAATGGCTTGCAACCAGCAACAACTATGTCCGATGGCGATCAGGTGAATCAAAGCGGGCCATGTGTCAAGAGATCATTGCAGATATGCGACTGCATGGCATCCACCATCGCAATTATCATTGTAAGCTGAAATTTGACTTTCTCACTTACATGTTCTCTTGACTGACTGCATGCTTGCGTGTAGCAATCATGCTTCGGATGACTCTGCTTGAAGGCTCTTATAAGCAGGCATACCAGTGGGAAACTACCACTGGCGGATTCATCACTGCGATTGGTGTTGATGGCCACACAACGGTCTCGGTTCGAGGTAAGGCTGCTTCCCTATTTTGCTTGTCCTGCCTTAGATCTCATCTGATATACTTGTGAGGTAGAGCATCTACTACGGATCTGTCGGTACTGGGACAAACTTGATCCAATTATGCGACCGATCATATGAGGGGGAGGATTAGTGGTCTTGCGAGTTATATCTTGGACTTTGCAGAGGGCTATATGCCCTCCTCTTGTTACCCAGAAAGAAATTTATGCATGCTTTGCTTCAAATGTTGTAACACCTTCACGGTGTCTTTGCCAAATGATGTGAGAATAAACTTGCCGGCCCCCTGCCCTAGAGTGACTGGGGCCAGCTTTGATCAGGATGATGATCCATCTGGGGCATATTCCGCTTCGTTGATTGGTGGAAATGGGCAAGGAGCCCTATGTGAATTTGGCTTGGCAGATGTGAGACACAAAGGCCGAGTGCCCCTCTGGTAAAACTGGGCCAGGATGAGCTAGGTGACTTTTACTCCATCTTGCACGGCCATGGTGCGCACATCTCATAGGCAACTCCTGATCACAAGTCTTAACCAATCGATCCAGAATGAACTCACAAGCAAAGTATTTGAATATATGTTCGGTGAAGACAGCGACGACTCATCATCATCGGACACTGATTCAGATATAGTCAATGATGATTTCGAGGATGAAGAGATGTCGATGCTAGACGTGGAAGCGAAAATACACGCAGTGATGGCAATTCAAGGAAGGCGGTATCTAGGACCTCGTCAAAAGATTGAAAAGGCCCCGGATATGCACGATTTTATTCTCAATCGAATGCAAGATAATCGGTTCAAACAGTTTTTCAGAATGACTCGTGCCTCTTTCCTCAAGCTATGCGCCCAGGTCGAAGACAATCCAATATTCCACAACAACTCTAATCACCCACAACGTCCAGTTATCGAACAGATGATGGTTACCCTCAACCGTTTGGGGTGCTATGGCAATGGGGTTGCGATTGGAATGCTTGCGACGTGTTACCGTATTGGCGATGGTACGGTGGAGCTATACACAAACCGATGTATATTGGCGATTCTATCCCTCCGTTCACAACTTCTCACATGGCCAGAGCCGGCCGCACGCGAAGAGATCAAGTCGGAATTTGAAGAGGTTGGCTTTGATGGATGTGTTGGATTGATTGATGGCACACTAGTGATACTTTCTACTTGCCCGGAAAAGGACGGTCCTGATTACTACAATCGAAAAGGATTCTATAGTGTAGTAACTCTTTTGGTTTGCAACAACAAGAAGAACATTACCTATCTCTATACGGGGTGGCCGGGATGTTCCCATGACATGCGACTCATGTCTAACTGTGCACTGACGAAACATCCGGGCGACTTTTTCTCCAACGGCGAGTACCTTTTGGCCGACTCCGCCTTTACGCCTACAAGGACCACGGTCCCAGCTTTCAAGCGAAAGAAGAACCAAAATCTCACTGATGAGCAGCATGACTTCAACCGACACCTCTCGGGCGTGCGTGTGGGGATCGAAAACTGCATTGGCCTCTTGAAGAACCGATTTAAGAGCCTCAAGGGATTGCGGTTGCGAGTATCAAGCAAGGAGGATATGGTGCGAGTGACTGCTTGGATAATGGTAAGTGCCGCGGGGCCTCATCCTTCAGGAAGACTTGATTCTGATCTAATTGTTTGCAGGCATGTGCAGTGCTCCATAATTTCCTCAACCAGGGAGGCGACTTCAACTTTGACATTACAGAAGAAGACAACGACGAAGATGGGGCAGAACGAGGTGAAGCGTGCCAACCTGGATCAGCCGCAGGATTACAAAAGAGACTGGATGTCGTAGCTGGGGCTCTTGCCTTCCGCGAGGCAGGAGGCTCTTACTAAATAGTTATTTGTCATGACTACATCTAGAGATATATAAAGCATCTATTAGGATGAATCATCATCCGGAAACATTGCCAGCCCATATTTTCGGCTCTCCTCCAGGGTTTTGAGGACGAGTGGGTCCTGAGGGGTCAACTGCAGATCCTCGGCAATCAGAGCGAGTGCGACCTCCGGTATCAACACTTTACGGAGGAAATATTCCGGGGAGAGCGGGTGAGCTAACCGGTCAGTCATAGTGTTGCCGGAGCCTACAAAGTGAGGGTAGAGGGTTCGGTAGAGGACCTCAAACCCCTGCGGCCCATAGCTGTTGTTAATCAGATGTGTTCGATTAGCCATGTGAGGGTGGTTGAGTGTAGATGCAGACGGTGTGAGAACTCCTTTGGGAATGGTGGCAGTCCTGTGAGGGGGAAATAGCAGATGAGATATATCACGTATGTAATGATCTACTACAACTGTTACGGCTGGTTTGAAAGACCTGCCCCTCTATTGTACTACACTAGAGTTAACACAACAATTTATTTATTGTTGTGGCAAAACTGATGATAGAGAAAACTATGTGTAGCAGTCTCTTATCAAACCTAGATCAACGTGGATTCAGCAGACTATTTGAGTGGAAATGTGGAGTAAGAGGTGTTTTTGTTTATATGTTTATGTATTTTGAAAAATGATTGACGTATGTACTGATTATGAATGTGAATTTATGAGATGATACTTGAGGAAAAATATGACTATTGAAAGTGTCTTTCACTTCCTCCTTGAATCTTGGTCAAGAGCACAATGGTTTAAGATCACTGTCTTTTGTTTAAGATCACAAGTTGTACTGGTTGCTACTTTCTTTTTCCTATGCTTCTCAATGTCTGAATGATCTCAATGGGGCACTTTGATTAAGATCACACTGGTTAATGTATGGATTGATTGCTCTATTCTGTCTGGTTGCTGATCAGATGAGATGATGATCTGTTCTCCTGAGATGATCTGATGAGATGAGATGATCTGATGTGATAAGATGATCTGATGAGATGAGATGATCTGATGATCCAAAATTGGAATGAGGGGGGGAAAGCCCCTCCTTAAATAGTCTATTTTACAACCCGGCTGACTTGTGGTTCTAGCCCTAACCAATAATCTATAAATGGCCAACTTGTGGTTCTAGCCCTAACCTATAATTTGTGGTTACCCTATGCAATGAATATTGAATATGTAAGCTAACTAAGGCCAACTTGTGGTTTAAATTATGCAATAAGCATTTTGTATGCAAATAAAATTTAAATCCCAAATAACTTTTGACTGAGTGGAGCTAGCCTAGTGGTTCCAGTGAGTGACTATGGGTTAAATGCCCCGTAGAATGTGATTATGCAATAATACGCCTAAGAATATATGCCATTCTACATATTGAACTGTGACTTTATGCAATTTGATACTTGAAACACAATTGGCATACTACATCCTCCCCCAACTTAATGCTGTCCGCAGCATTCCTGTTTCAAGTATCAAATTTTTCCAGACTCCAGGAGTACCCCAATTTTGGACATATGCACCACAATTACCCATTTAATAGACAAGCTCCACCCCCTCTTATGCCATATAATTGAACCTTGCAACCCTTCCATGAGCAGTCTTTACCAAGCGTCTTACACACCAATTCCTCAATATCACTGATCCCATCAGATGTACCCAAAAGAAAATATTTCCCTTGATATCCAATCTGGTCCCAAAAACTCCTTCTTGATCCATTGTCTGTCTGATTTGAATTGTAGTTCTGCTCTGAGTTTTCACTAAACTGGTTTTCATATATCCAACTGATTTCTTCTCAAGTAATTCATCCAACAGTAGTATCATCTATCCCCTTTAGAACTCCTTGTCCTCCCCCACGCCTGCCACGTCCAAATCAAAGGCGCCTAATGAATCTATTTCAATCTCTTTCATCTCATTGGTCCAAGGAAAAGGCCAGTGGTTGATGTATTTGAAAGAGGCCCCTCAAGAATCTCCATATGCTGAGTTCCATGGTTGTCCGAAACACCTTCAAAACACCTTTCCCCCAGCGGAATACTCCTAAGCCTCCTTCAAATAATCCCCAGTTTACCAAAAAAGGTTTTAGCCATACTACTGTTTGAATCATTACCCAAAAAAACCCATGTCTTCAATCTCCACCTGGTTAGTGCTTTCTCTTCTGTCCCCTATCCTTCAAATCGATGGTTCATGTGATCCGGTAGTTCAAATTATTCAGGAATATTTGGTGGTAATTCTATTTCTTGTAAATCCTGTCCTTTCTTGCCCCAAATTTCATTCAAATTGATTCTTCTCTTGAAATCACCCACCAAAGGTTCCACTGTTAGATTGTACAGCATTTTTGTGAATCCAGTTGGTTTTCTCCACATCAATTTCAGATTAAGGTCATGATGGACCCCGGTTTCCAGTTATTTCCGCCTTTTTACAATACTTCCAGTTTTGGGTCATGAGGGAACATTGTCTTTTCCATTTCCGACCATTTCTAGATTTCAGTTTAAGGTCATGAGGGACCCCAGGTTGGTTGATTTTTCAGTTTAAGGTCCTGAAGGACCCCCTTCAGATCGGTTGATTTTTCATCTTAAGGTCATGAAGGACCCCAGGTTGGTTGATATATCAGTTTAAGGTCATGAAGGACCCCAGAGTGGTTGATTTTTCAGTTTAAGGTCATGAAGGACCCCCTTCAGATTGGTTGATTTTTCATTTTAAGGCCATGAAGGACCCCAGGTTGGTTGATATTTCAGTTTAAGGTCATGAAGGACCCTCTTTCAGTTTAAGGTCATGAAGGACCCACTTTCAGTTTAAGGTCATGAAGGACCCTTTTTTTTCAATTATTTTCACTGAATTCAGTTTAAAGTCATGATGGACCCCAGGTTGGTTGATTTTTCAGTTTAAGGTCATGAAGGACCCCTTTTCTTTAGACTGTTTAATCTTCAGTTTAAGGTCATGAAGGACCCTTTTTATTATTATTTTTTTTTCAATTATTTTCACTGAATTCAGTTTAAGGTCCTGAAGGACCCCCTGTATTTGTGCCAGCCCCTTTTAGTGTAATAGCCCTGGCACACAACATGCATCCAATTTTTATTCTTCTGAGTCCAAGAATTTATGATATCCACTTTGTTTCGACATTCTTCTTCCCATTTCCTTTTTTTTTTTCAAGCCAACCAAAAGTTCTTTCTTGATTGGTCCACTGTACCCTGGTGAGTGCTAACCTTTCCAAGTAAATTGAGTCTGCACCGCTCACAGAATTCTTATTTGACTCATGTGCTGTTAATACCCATATGTATCATTGTAGATCTTGCATTTTTTAGTACAGCTCTTTGATCACCCATTACTGTGGCTGGTGTTGTGCTCTTCGCTTTGGTTTCATCAGCTGCTATGCCAATCAACATCCAGAATTCCATATGTGATCCTAGCCGACCTTCTTTGATCTTAGATAGAACCGTACACCCTTCTTGATTTTGATGTCATTTATTAGGATGTATTTATCCATCCTGGCCGATCTCATGCTGCTCGGACTCCGGAGGACCGCTCTATGGATTAGGTAGTTCTTAGATTTGGTTCCTTCATCTTCTAGGCCGATCAATATCCCGAATTCCAGCCATTCCATTCCCAAATTTGTAGTTATTCCCGCAATAAGTCCTTTAACTGCTGACTTGTGTGCGGTTGAGTTGAATGTTGAAAAAATTCCTTCTTAATTTTGGTGTCATTTATTTTTTATCCATCCTGGCCAATCTTATGCCGCTCGGTTCACTCCCTCCACCAGCACCACCATCGTCGATCATTTTTATTCTTAGTTGATGACATCTTGCCCACCGGAGGACTTGATCCATCATGTGATGTCCACACATTGTGTGCTACCCAGCTTGGTGCATAGCCGTATCGGATATTCTCCAATCGATATTGTCACTGTGTCGTTCGAATCCTTTGTTTTGCTTCATTTTATGTAAAACTATTTGAATAATTGGGTGAGCCGATCACCTGAATTTATGGCTTGTGACTGCCTTCTCGTAAAAAAAATCCTCTTTTTCCCCGCTCATCTCATCACCAGTTCCGTCTGCCGGCTCTTGGGGAGTCCGTCGGCTTTCATCAGAACAGATTGCTGTGTACCCACTACCCTCGCGAATATAAAAGCAGGCTCTCTAGTCACTCTCCTCCCCCTCTTTCACCATCAACCACCGCCACTTAAGGAAACTGAGTTACTGAGCTCGATCTGACTTCCTGTTTATTTTCAGACCTCATTTCTTTTTTTTTTTCTGAAGCTATCACTTATTTGAATCGCCTGCTTGTATATAGCTAATTTGTCCTCTGCAATGCAATTTGATTTTTCCCTTATTACAATTAGGACTTCCTTGATGATTCTTGTCCTCAACCGATAACTAGTATTTCTAGTGGTGCTCTCCAAGTCCTCTTTCCACTTCACCTGTGATCTTGTACTCTTAAAACAGATCGCTTCTGATCCTTAGTACCACGATTGCTATAAAAGTCATTGCCGTTAAATCTGAAGCTTTCAACATTGATGCCAAGTTCCTCTTGCCTAGAACCAATGTTTGTAAGTTTTTTTTTTCTTGTTCATTTGACTTAAGCCTTTGAAATTGGCTAGGCAGTGTTCCTGGACCAATCGGTTGAAGAGCCTTAATGTTGCCTTTTCCGTTGCCTTTTCGTCCATGCCTTCTTGTGCGAGCTCTTCACACATTTAAATAGTTCCTGTCTGCTTGTCTAATCACCTCGCTTCTTGTGACAAACTGTACTGGGGAATTTTCTTGCTCATAGCATCCCTTTGAAAACTGCTTCATCTTATATCTAACTGCTCGTGCCGACTCATGGGAGTAGCTTTAGCTTGGTTCTTCTAATCGCTCCAAGCAACACTCCATCCTTCATGAATAGTCAGCTGACACTGAGCTCTTCTAACACTCAGAATTTCCTCTCCTTCTTGCATCGACACCTTTCTAGAGCTTTTTGTTGCCTTTCTTAGTACAACCTCCTAGCTCTTGCTTGCTGTAAACTCTACACTCCAGAAGAAAATACCTCCCCCCATGAGGCTATTCCAATGACAAACGCGAAACCTTTGTGACAATGAATAGGCTATTCCGATCACTAGAATGCTAGACCAATTAGGTGATATTGATGACCAAGAGCTGAGATTGACGACCCAGACCCATGATCAGGGAGATGATAATATCCCATGAATTGATGCACACTGGCTGTCTTGAAAGCCAGAAGCTATAGCTATCTCTGATCGCTTGGTGTGTTCCCCCCACATATGCATCTTTCCACTTTCCTGATTGAAATCAATAGAATTTTTTTCTTGAATACCTATCTGAACATTGAAAAAAAGTGAACTCTACCACTCATTCTTCTTTGGGAAAGAAATAATCTTTTGATGACTTCCTAATCCTTGTATTTTTTTCTTGCTTGGAATTTCTATTTGCTCTCCCAATCTGTTTTTTTATATAACATAGCCACCATTGTCCTTTATATTTGAGATAAATGTGCCTTTTTTTTAAAAATAGTACATTTGAGTTGGATAAGAAAGATTAATACTGTGATTGAGACCCCTTTTGAAGGGAACCAAAAATAGGTTTTCTCTTATTTGAAAAAGGTTTGTATCCAGGTATATTATTTCTGGCCCATCTCATACCTCTTTTGTCTTCATTATATATGCTGATCCTGAGTTTATATTGGAGTTGGCCATATCTAGAATTCCAATGGCCTACCTTCAGGAATGATTCTGTGCCAATATCTGTGAGTGTATGTACAAAATCCAAGTTGCTGACTCCTCCACTGGGTAGCTTGTGAAGCAGCTGATAGTTTAATTTTATATCATCATAATGCCATTCTTCTGGAAATACCTTTCTAAAGTGTTTGAGGGGTCTTTCATTCTTCCAAAAGTTGTTGTAGTATTCAATGACCAAAGTTGAAGCTTCTTTCTGAAGCTTGTGTGTCTTGAATACTTCTTTTCCTATTCTCTTCTGTCTTGCTGCAGAATATTCAGGCCAATCTGCCTCTTGAAGTGAATAACTACAGCCAATAACTTTGAAATTCTGATTCAAAACTGGCATTATGGAAGTGCTTGGTGACTTGAATCTGCCTCCTGCTTTAAAAATATCTATATTTTCCTCTTTGTAGACCTCTGGTGCATCTGATGGAACTAGCTGGGGTGTCTTTATTTGTCCAAGTAACATATTTACTGTCTCCTGCATACTCTGAATTGAGTACTTCATTGTTGATAATCGTGCTTGATTCTTTAGAATAATTTCTGCTTGATCCAAGTTACATTCTTCAAAGGTGTACATTTTTTTTCTTGGCTAATTTGTGGGAAAAATTTCTTAAAAGAAAGCCCTGCTTTTTCTTCCCTTTCCCTTGACCTACACTTCTGCTTTGTTACCCACTTTTGTATAGTCTTCTGTTGCTGAGGGAGATTTACTGTTGATCCTCTGAAATTTTTTTTTAGGCCACTGTTGGGACACCAGATGTGAGAACTCCTTTGGGAATGGTGGCAGTCCTGTGAGGGGGAAATAGCAGATGAGATATATCACGTATGTAATGATCTACTACAACTGTTACGGCTGGTTTGAAAGACCTGCCCCTCTATTGTACTACACTAGAGTTAACACAACAATTTATTTATTGTTGTGGCAAAACTGATGATAGAGAAAACTATGTGTAGCAGTCTCTTATCAAACCTAGATCAACGTGGATTCAGCAGACTATTTGAGTGGAAATGTGGAGTAAGAGGTGTTTTTGTTTATATGTTTATGTATTTTGAAAAATGATTGACGTATGTACTGATGATGAATGTGAATTTATGAGATGATACTTGAGGAAAAATATGACTATTGAAAGTGTCTTTCACTTCCTCCTTGAATCTTGGTCAAGAGCACAATGGTTTAAGATCACTGTCTTTTGTTTAAGATCACAAGTTGTACTGGTTGCTACTTTCTTTATCCTATGCTTCTCAATGTCTGAATGATCTCAATGGGGCACTTTGATTAAGATCACACTGGTTAATGTATGGATTGATTGCTCTATTCTGTCTGGTTGCTGATCAGATGAGATGATGATCTGTTCTCCTGAGATGATCTGATGAGATGAGATGATCTGATGTGATAAGATGATCTGATGAGATGAGATGATCTGATGATCCAAAATTGGAATGAGGGGGGGAAAGCCCCTCCTTAAATAGTCTATTTTACAACCCGGCTGACTTGTGGTTCTAGCCCTAACCAATAATCTATAAATGGCCAACTTGTGGTTCTAGCCCTAACCTATAATTTGTGGTTACCCTATGCAATGAATATTGAATATGTAAGCTAACTAAGGCCAACTTGTGGTTTAAATTATGCAATAAGCATTTTGTATGCAAATAAAATTTAAATCCCAAATAACTTTTGACTGAGTGGAGCTAGCCTAGTGGTTCCAGTGAGTGACTATGGGTTAAATGCCCCGTAGAATGTGATTATGCAATAATACGCCTAAGAATATATGCCATTCTACATATTGAACTGTGACTTTATGCAATTTGATACTTGAAACACAATTGGCATACTACAACGGAAAAACGTACTATCCTGGCTGTTCAACATCAAAAGAGTTGATGTCATAAAAAACACTCTGACACTTGGTCCGACCGAGTGTAGCCCAATCCAACAAGGCGTTCTCAAAGAATTCCGACGGATGCTCCTTTCGCGCGATCATCCACAGGTGCCCACTGAGGGACTTGACTCGACTATTGAGATGCGGATCAGCCTGCGAGCATTTGAACGTATGAACGATTAGATGACTCACGTGTAGAGCGCTGCAAAATCAATAGAAGTTGGCCATCCTCGCGCCAGTCCCATTGGAATGACCTCCGTTTCATTGTTATGCCTGCTACAGTAGTCAGCGACCACATGGAACTATTACAATCCAGGTGGTCAGCAGGATACACGGACGTGCATTATTGGATCCAACTGACAGGTAGATGCAATGCGTGCGGATTTCTAGGGTGATACCTGTAAAGAACGTCGGACCTGCTTTTAAGATACCGGCCGAGCTCAATCAATTTGGCCGACGGATTTTCAGGTAACACTTGATCACAAAAAACGCATAGGTTGCCTGATATGGAATCGATAATCAGTCTACAGCCGTGCAACTTACACCAACGTGTACGAACCAGAGATGACTTACCAGGGGGGGTGGTACCTTGGATGTTGAGATCTGGTGGGGCGTCAGCACCTATCGAGAGCCAGTCAGGATCCACACGTAACTCGGGCATGTTGCCACGCAACTCGGCCAGCGGGATAATTTGATTGTCGACCCCGGTGTAAGTGGTCTCCGACCGCAAGCTAATCAGGCCATCACCTCTGGTGTGAGGTGTATCAGACGGCGCGCGAAGCATTGGCACTGACTCTTGATGATCGTTCACGTGAGTAGCAATCGAGGGGCGATCAGATGGACAAGATTGTGTCAATCCACATGGTGAGTCTATAGGCGTCAGGTCGTCGGAGGTAGTGACAGGCGGGCTTTGGAGGCAAGGGTAGACCTGATTGGCTGATGTGTCAATATCTGGCTCGGTTTGGCATATTGCAGCGGTCTCGGGTGTGGACAAGGATGAGCCACCGGTTTTCTTCCGCTTGTGTCGTTTGCCGGAGGGTTCCGGATCGTCGTACTTGAATTTGAAACTCAGGAGCTTGGTGAGGTAGCCACGAGCCATTGTTGCTCAATTGCCGAGTGATGCGGTTGAGTTATTGGATGAGGATGAGAAACACCACCGAGGCGAGGCACGCGGTCCCTTGTGTGGAGGAGAGATCAAGTGGTCTAACAACCTGTTCATTTCATTCTCATGGATTCCAAACCACCTGTGCACATCTCAAGTCACCAGAGGAACACTTAACAAGAGAATATGGGCAGTGGTTGTATGTATAAAAGCCCAGCCAATAACAGATTTCATCCAACAAGACAGAAGAAAGAAGAGGTGCGACCCATAACAAACAGTAGGTAGTAGAGCAAGCCATAACGGTAGATTGTAGGGGAGAGAGACACTGAGTGTACTACAATGAAAAAGGACGGAGCGGGGGGGGCATAAAACATCCTAATATTGCGCCTATATCATTCTTCCTCACTTCCTGAACCGTTGGTACGTTCCTCGCCAGACTCGTCACCGGATTCGGAACTGCTATCTGCACTGGACTCGGAGATGTGATCTTCAGAAGAATCATCTTCTTTCGCGTTGCCCTCGCCGTATTGGGCGTCGAAGAATTCCTTAATCTCCTTCTTACTGTGCCCGAGAGCTTTCAGCTCCTTCATGTAACTGATCCGATTGCGTATCTCTTCCGATTCAAACCTCTTAATCTTCATCTGAGCCTCCATTTCCATAACACGAATCCTGCGCCTTTCCAACGACGCCGCCGTCTTATCGCGAGCGGCTTCCAACTTCACCCTCTTCTCTCGGTTTCACGCTTCTTCTTCTCGCGCGCCTCGCGAGCTGCAAAGCATTTTGTTCGGTAGCTGTTGGCCTCGGACATCAGACTTGCCAGACCTAGGGGGTCCAGTTCTGCAGATAAGCCTGATCAGTACAATTCATAGTGCAGGTTTGAGATGCTAAGAAACACACCTTTCTTAGCCATCTTCCGCTTTTTGGAATTCTTCTTACTGGATGGACCAGGAGATCTCGTGTGACCGGAAGCAGTCGGATCTAACTCTTCATCTTCGGTGGCAGTTGCGTTTGCTGGCTTGGAGGTCCCAGGAGGGACATCGGGAACGCTGGATGGATCGGCAGGACCGTTGGTGTCATTGTCGGTCATCCGGCCACCAGTTAAATCGGGGGTTCCGAAGGAGGTTGACTCAGCCGTGTAGAGGGGGGTTGCGACCGTTCTCGAGCCCATGATGGGATGTAGCTCGTCCCAATACTTACACAGCTTGGTCAGGGCCACTTGCATAGACAAGGAGAGCTGAGTCGGTAACTCTAGATAACTTAATCATACCAACTTTGAAGGGTCCGTGTACCATTCTGGATATCCTCTTCCTGAAGGCCCGAGCCGGTATTGCGGAGGAAGTCGCTTGCTTTTGAGTACGAGTTCTGAAGTTCTTGAATCTTTGTTTGAATGCCTTTGTTGTCTCGGTGGGTGATGCCGCTCACGGCCATGATGCCTAATATCTCGTTGGCCAACGCAGCTTTGGTTGACCCACTCTTGGTATCGCCTCGCCATCGCTGATAGTTGCCGTCAATGGTAAGCCAATCTAGGAGGATCCGAATGCTCGATAGGCCGTTCGGGCCGCCATCTTTGTCCCACAGGACAGGGTTTTTTTTCTTCTTCGATTGGCTGGCGATAGTGACGGTGGGAGGGGGAGGGGGAGGCCTATAGCTATTCGGTGGCATGATTGAAGACGTGTGATGAGGGGATAGAAGAATCTTGAGGATTCAGTTGGGGATGGATGGCTGGAAGACCGACACGCTTTGGGGGATAGGGGGATGCTGTCGGGGTGTAGGAGGGGGTCAGGCAGAAAAGCGAGTTTTTATGGATTTAACTCTTTTTTTCCTGGGCTCCTGGACCTGCAAGTGCCGACCTGGGAGGCAGAGGGGAGAAGGAGCCCAGGACCGCAGGAGGCTTTCCAGGTGGCTTTTTTTTCCTGGAATTTGCGACCTGCGCGAGCTCCTGGGGCCTGGAATTCCTACCTTGAAACCCCCTAATATGCATGCAAGGGAGCACACAAGCACAGCATGTTGTCATGCATTACCAGGTAACCCAGCCACCTGCCCAAACATTCCATGCATGAAGCACCAGGCTACCAGGCCTGCTGCTAGCTCCTTCCATCCAGAGTTTGGGGGTCAAAGCCTCTCCTCACTCCTTCCTTCCTCCCTCTGCCTCAATTATTTTTCCTCCCTTCACTTTCTACCATCCATACCCTGTACCCTTACATAAAACATAAAGTACCCTTATAAACACCACTCCTCCATTCCATTCTGTATGCTTTTGGCATTGGAACAGGCACAGCACACCACACCGTTCAATGAGGAAATTTCACCTCATCAACCGGAGGAGAGTCCTTCCGGTTGATGAGGAAGCTTGACCTCATCAACCAGATGGGATTCCTTCCAGTCAATGAGGAAGCTTTACCTCATCAACTGGAAGGAATCCCTTCCAGTAAATGATAAAGCTAAACCTCATTGACCGCACAACAGTTTGAGGCTTGATCCCGTCAAATAACATGAGTGGTACTGGTGAGAGAGGATCAACTGGAAGAAATCTTTTCCGGTTGATTAGGAAGCTAAACCTCATTGAACGGAAGGGATTCCTTCCACTCAATGAGGTTTAGCCTCCTCATTGACCAGAAGGGATTCCTTCCAGTCAATGAAGTATAGCTTCCTCATCAACTGGAAGGAATCCCTTCCGGTCAATGAGTTTTAGCTTCCTCAAATTAGCTCAATGTATTTACTTTTTTCAGGAGACCAGCAAAATCACCTCAACTGCATCACCACCAGCAAAAATAACTCAGAAAATAATATAACCAGCAAAAATAACTCAGAAAATAATATATAAGGAGGCCTCTGCTTCACCAATTCCCCCATCATCACCCAGCCAGCACAGTACCCAGCTAGCTCAGTGGTTTTCAACATCAACAACATCAAAATTAGGTCTAGTCAACACCAGTAACATTAACAACATCAACAACAACAACCACCAACTTCACTATTTATCCAGAATCACCATAACACCATAAAACCACATACAAATATTCCACTTTAATTGTACACACACTCATATCCACTGTGTAAAGGTTGTATAACCATCTTGTATTGTATTACATACTGATCTAGGTCTGATAGAGACTACTACACATAAAGTTTTCTCCATCACAAAGTTACGCCACAACCAGGGGGTTGGAAAAACGACTCCCAACAATTTGCCAACAACTCCCATTTTGGTTGAGGGGTTGTTGGGCGGGAGTTGTTCCTCCAAATCAATGGCTGACTTTGGGAGTCGGCCATCCAATTTTTTATTTTTTATTTTATTTTATTTATTTTTAGGGAGTCGGCGCCCCAAACCACCCCTCATGCTTGAGGGGGTTTGTGAGTTGCTTGCTCCCATGACCAGAGAATTTAATTCTGGTCTACCAGAAAGAAAAACCTCATTGGCTGGAAGGGATTCCTTCCGGTCAATGATGTATAATATCCTCATCAACAGAAGGGATTCCTTCTGGTTGATGAGGTATAACATCCTCATTGACCGAAGGAAACACATGCGGCTAATGAGGCATCTGCAACCCAACCAACTGTATAGACTACGACTCCAGGTGAATTCTCTTACCTGACCAAAGCACTTCTTGGGCAATCCGGTCATAGCGACAATACACCCATTTTGAAGTTGAAACTAGTCTTGAAAATCTTGGCGAAGGTCAAGCTTCACGATGGCAAACTTAAACATGTGATTGCTTGCATCACCCCAGATTGGAGCCAGAAGAGGTAAGAGATGACAAAGACTGCGGAAAGTGAAATTCTCCTATGTGGCATCTAGCAATCAG